AGTCATGTTGTGATGGTGTCCCGGTCATGTTGTGATGGTGTCCCGGTCGTGTGATGCTGGTGTCTCGGTCATGTGATGCTGGTGTCCCGGTCATGTTGTGATGGTGTGACGGTGTCCCGGTCGTTGTGATGGTGTCTCGCTCATGTTGTGACGTTGTCCCGGTATCCCCTTTGAAATTCATATGGCTACTTGGGTAGCACCATTTCATACTATAGATCCACGCCCCCCATGTGGGGGTCTCTATAAAATCATGCCCCCCAACTCATGCGCACGCTATAGAATCAAAGCCCCTATGTCGTGAAGTGAAAGCTCACGGAAAGTATGTATGAAGTTTTCAACACTAAAGAATCACACCCCCCATCTCACAGACCGATTCCTTATAATGCTATATGTGCTTGCTTTTTCATCATGAGCCTTCCACGGGAAAGTTTTTTCATCATGAGCCTTCCACGGGAAAGTTGACAGAGCACAAAGTTGAAAGAACAGAGAAAAGGTGAAAGAGCTCAAAAAATGACTGTCACAAAAAAAGCACTGAAAGGTTGTTCCTCTATAGAATCATAGTCAGTCAATGACCATCAACATGTCTGCCACTAAGAAATAAAAGTCCCCATGTCACCAGTACAAAGCTCACGGAAACATAGATCTCAGGGTTCTATCACTTTAGAATCACGACCCCCAGGTCAACTAGGTCAAATTGCACCCTTGTCGGAAACTTCCCGTGGTATCTCGTGGTCTCCTTTTAGAATCAAGGAACCTGAGTGTCTCAATTCTATAGTGCTATAAAATGGGTGCTCGGGAGTACCCAGGTAGCACTAATCTGCAGGGGGAAATTTAAAGGGGATGTCCCGGTCATTTTTTCCGGTCATGTTGTGATGGTGTCCCGATTATGTGATGATGGTGTCCAAGGAAGAGATGGTCGATGCGTTGAAAACAGCAGCTGTTTCCAGATGTTTTTTTGGGTCCCGGTTTGTATCTTGCTATTGGAGGTCTCCAGCTGGGCTAATTAAGTTTAAAGGGTCTAATCTCAACGTTTCTGGACACAGAGTTAAGCCTTTTACTCCCAACACCCACAAGTGCAATGAACTTAGACCCTACACACGTAGTTGAGGGCATGTGTTTTTAGAGTCATGCGCTTGCCAGCATTCGCGTCATAAATGCAGCTGTCTGCGTCTGCCATAAAATGGCAACCAACCTTGGAGTTCTTTAGTTCAACCCGGCGCATGAGTTCACTTCAAGCCGTTACGTAGCCTACCTGAACGAAGTATACAATCGGATGGGTTTGGTCAGCCTAACTGCAAAAAATGCGCGGCGATTATGCTGGTTGAGCAGGTCCAAATTGACCGCTTGCCTCCATGTAAAAGGAGTGTCACGTGCAAGGCATTTCTCACAAAATTGTAATGAAGCACATGGAACGTGTCAGTGTCGTAGAGCCTTGTTGGCAACGCCTGCTTGCCGTGGAAGTGCGGCAACCCAATTCATATCACCCACAGTGATCGTCAAGATGGGGACGCTTCGCATCATAGAACAAGGGTGGACGACGGATTGGGTACGGAGCCATGTTGCTCTGCTGCTCCGTGTGGCCGAGATCGTAGGGATCCCGTAGCAGTATGCAGCAGTGATACGTCTTAATATTAAAGGTTTTGTCATTATCCATCACGAAGTGCCTGATCCAATGCGGCAAAGCCGGTGCCGGCAACGACTGTTATAGATCCTAGAGTTCGGGGACTAAGTTCTTTTCGCCAGCCACAGGATACGTTTGATGGCTGATTCCGCCAGCCGCCGAATTTGGTGGCTTGCTGGCTGATTCTGTGGGGACTGCCGAAGATTTCCAGGACGTGGTCATACATACACTCTAGGCCGTGCAATTGGATGCGCTTTGGACTCTGCGTTGATGGCTCCGCACATGTTCAACTCATCCTGGCCCATGACCCCCAAAAAGTTCAGCGACTATTAATCGAACTGAGTAAGCTTGGACTTCCTATGTCAGCGCTTTTGTGGCCGATGCAAACTCGCATTTTGCGTGGGCTGTAACTTATCGTTTGTTCAAACGCCCAATTCGTCAAAGCCGCTTGGTAATTAACTGTCAAGAGTTCTATATACATGCAGCACTTCTGGGACTGTTTCAATGATGCATGAACATCAAAGATTGCCTCTCAGTGCTTGTTTGGAGAGTTTGGTCCTTGCGGCAGAAAAGCTCAGATCGCGCCAAGTATGTGAAGAAGTGCTTCGTTTCCTCAGTCCTTGAGCACGAGGCAAAAGCTTCTCTTGCGCAACCACTTCCACGGAATCATCCAGCCAGCAAAAAATCTCGTCGAGGACAAACAGTGCCATCTACATGTCCAACAATATTAGATAATATTTATCTTTGATCGCTCTGGATGGACAGCCGCCTAGGTTGCAGAGTCTGGCATGCGGCACAGGTAGAATTACAGAGTTTTCTCAGCCGTTCTGTGTTCTGGACCCAGAATGCACTCTGTGTGGGCAGCTCTGTGGAAAGCGTGCAGGACCTGCTTCTGGATTCCGAAGAGCTGAGGTGTGCAGAGCAGGGGGTTGAGAGAAGGAAGCAAGAGGCAAGAGTGACAAAAGTAAGTTTAAGTTTAAATCGTTAACGATGTCCATTTGGCATAATGCATTTGATGCTGGGGTGCAGCCACTCCCACTGCTGTGCTTTGACTACTTTTGATTCCAATCGTCCTGCATTAATGTTGCTTTTGGGCCCGTGTATGTAATTGGCCGTTAAAGAATGGTTAGCCGCCTTTTACATCTGCCGTTGCTGCTTTGATTTTGGTCGGCAAAAGCAGTGTTTTGGTTTTCTCAAAAAGTGTTTGGAATATGGAACTTGCATTTGCAAATGGATTGCCCTTGCTGCCCTTGCTTGTAGGTCCACCCATTTGCCGGTTAGTATATTCCGCGTGCTGTCGTTGCCATTGCTTATTGGTCCGTCAAGCTACATAAGCTACTGTCTTTAGATGGCAGCCTTGCTGTGCGCCACCCCGGGCTCCTGATGTATGGCACAGCTGCTCGGGAATTGGCATTTCTTTTCAACAGGTTGGTTAGTTTCCATTGCGGATTGGTGTGATCTGCAATTCGCAGAGTGTACGCTGTGTTTCACTCATGCTGTAGGTGTATTTCCTCAATCGATCGCCGAAACCGCGTCGTTGCTCTGCGACCTTTGCAATGATTAGGCGCGAAACTTTTAGGAACCCTTGCTCTAGCGTTCTCGCTTTTTACATTCGCGTCGGGACAGTCGTCAAATTTATGATGCACTAGTGCAGCCCGCAGCCCCTACCGCCGCTTCCAAGCAAACTCAAGCGTTCTGGAGGACGCGCGCATGTCGAGCCAGAGCACCGCTGGGGGCCAACGAGCACTGTAGGGCCGTTCATGACGAGCGCGCCCTTTGATTGCGCAGAGTCTGCGCAGAGATCCAGGGGTACACGGTACACTGCTCAAGCCCTGTGAGACATGTTCAACGGGGGGAGTGGTGCTGGGTGCATAGCCGTGATGGTCAGGAAGGCTCACAACTGGCTGCAATGAAGTCGCAGCCTGTGGAAGCGCGACAGGTGCCTGGCTTCAAAGCACCTGGGCTGAACTCAGCCACCTGAGCCTTTGTCTAACCACACACTTCTCCGCTGACATAGCCGACGTGTCGACAATCAGAAATTACAGGACTATTCACTCAGGAACAGGCTCCTGCGTGCATGTTGTACTCGCTGCTATTGTCTTAAATGGCTAGGAACGTCACAACTCTGGCACTGCTTGACAAAGGGAGCAGGACAGAGTCTTCGTAGGTCAGCACATCCTGGCTCGGACGTTGCATTTGATGAAGCAGAACGTGATGGAGCTTATTGGAGCTTTGAGGAGCTCTTCTCGGCATAATGGATTTTTGTTTGTCTCGAAGCAGCCAAAACGCCTCTCAGACTCTCGGAGACTTTTGGAGACTCTTGAAGACTAGGAGCAAGGATGCTACTAGTAGCTATTTGCTACTAGTAGTCATTGAATCATCTTGAATCCTTCCTTCGTCTTGTTCCAACCTCTGCTTCTCAGCCACTTCTTTGGGTATTTGGGTATTTTGCATTGTTTCGCTCGCGCGTCGGATTTTGCTGTGGCTTGTCTTTCAACTGTGCATGTCAATTATGCCAATTCTCAATTCTCTTAACACGATACGGCAGGTCATTCTCAGCGGCCTTTGATTTTGTGACACCGCGCGCTCTCCACGGCTCTCTTTGGATACCGTCACATCATCCAAGCTCGGGCTTGATGTGTCCAACGAGTCTACCTTTTGGTTGCCTCACTCAACCATGGTCACTCAATGTCGATGCCGGACTGCAGGTGGCAAGGAATTTGGACGGTCAAATACGGTCGCATCATACACTTTGGCCTGTGGCCCATAGAAACCCTGTCAACACCAGACATCCCGAAGGCAAAACTGGATTGAAGTCTCCATGTGTGCATTTTGCACACAAATTGAAAATCTCCACACTAGGAAAAGGCACTCTGGGCTTTGCAGTTCAAACAATGGTTGTCACTCCGTTCCTGCCTCCAACTCCTCAAGTATTGCAGAGTTGGCTGGATCATTGCAGTTTGCCTGGCATGAGGAAGCAAATATCTGTCTTGGTGTTTGTTGCTTTTGTTGTTTCAGTCTGATCCCTGTTGAATCAGGGGTGGCTTTGGACGTCTTTAGAAAAAGTTCTGCGTAAGAAAACAGAGAGTCAGTAAAAGGTATTTCTCTTTGTGTAGGCACTGGACAATGCCAACAATCCTCAGACTGTGGGAGCTCGTTGTTGTGTCAAGCTTCACTCCCCATGAGGCCTCAAATGTCGCTCGTAAGCGCCTGGCAAACTTCCTGTCCTGGGAATGCAACAGAAACCCACGGAGCCGCTCCCATCACGATAGCTTTGCAAGTCTCAATGCTTTAGAACATTTTAAAGTGCTTCAATTCCCGTTACTGACTGCCAGGGCAGACTGCCCTGTAGCATCATTCAAAGCGCTGTCCTCTCTCATCATTTCCTTGGTGGCTGCTTTCGCCCCCGATGCCCACCCATCCCACCATACACATTGAAGATCCTAAGCCGGGGCTCTATCAAGTACTCTGTCTCCCGCGCATGGTAAGGAACCTGGGCAGCAGAATCCGATGGGAGAAACCGGAAACAAAAGCACAGACTTCAAATGTCCAGAAGCGCACCTGGTACCCATACATGTAAGAAGGAATCGTTGGCACAATTGGCAGCCACCTGGCTCGAAGTTTCCACTGGGTCTGGCTGTCAATTTTGCTCAAGTCTACTGCTTTTTGCCCAGAAATGCCCGACAGCACATGTTTTCCCAGACCAGCTGGTGCTTCGAAGCTGCAAAGCCGAAGCACGCACTTGATTTGGGGAACTGCTGCCACCCATGCGTGTCGTGACTCGCAGTGGGAAACAAACAAGATCAAATTGATGAATCCACGAATGCAAGCATCGAAGCATGCAAGCATGCGACAGCAGGGCGGCAGCATGGCGTGCAAGCTTTGCGTTCAGAACGCCACCACAAGACGGTGCAAAGCGGTGCCAAGCGGCGCAATTGCGCGTGGCAAACGTCCCCGGCGATGCAGTGCCACATTGCCGCATTGCGTCAACTCTTTGACTCCCTCGGCCGCTTCTCAGGATGCTCCTCGAAAGACGAGAAACCCCAATCACAATTTAAGAATGTCGGCGTAATCAGGAGGAGGGCGTAGTGAAGTCTATTCCCTCAAGTGTAGTTTTGAGTTTTAAGGGGTTCTTAAGAATACCTTAGAGTTTAGCTTCGGGGAAGTTGCTCCTACTGCGAAGGTCTTCCAGGCCTTGCTAGTCTTCTCTTTCTCCTCGCCTTTCTCACCCTTTCGCTTGGGAATCTTCTCTGATGGCAAAAGGGGCTGTGCGCCCAAGCCAAGCAGGTTGTCTCTCGGCCTTGGCACAACATTTGCGGCACTGCACTGCGGAAGTTCAGACCGCAGAGGCATGAGCAAATCATCCAACCATTCCGCGGTAGGCATTGTAGGTGTCCAACTTCTCATGCCAAATGGGCTTCGTCTTGTGCTTGTCCGGGTCATAACCCATACCGCGGAGCAGTGCCAGACCGAAGGCCTTCGAGCTTCTTCCGTTTGGGTGTGAACCGAAAGATTGACACTTCCGTCAAGAGTTATACATATATATATATATATTATATAATGCCCCTTAAAATCTAGGAACCATTTCATACAGCGAGGGTTCTTCATGCGGGCTCCTCCCGACCTTACGCAGAAGAAGCGGAGAAGCTTCCCTCAAAAGCTGCTGCTGCTGCTGCTACTACGAATAATAATACTGTTGCTACTACCAGCCTCTTTTTACCTCCCGACCTTGAGGGCTTACCCTGTCCAAACGATTCGCTCCCTGCCTCAACAGGCACTCGCTCGTAAGCATCCTTGGAGACATCTGCTGCACCGCCCTCACGTGCCTTGCGAGAGGTCTCCCGCATGAGGATTGGTGCTACCTGGCCGGATATCTTCGATTCCGTACACAATGGGCTACGGAACACTCTTGAATGGGTACATAGACAGCTAGTATCGGAACAAAACAAGAAACCAAAAGTTTGGCAGTCTAATAGGCAAAATGTTTCGAGAAGCAGAATCGTTCTGAATGGTTCCATCACAAGTGCTCTTACAGTGGAACATTGAAGCCATAACGTGGAAAGGTCTTCTTTGATGGCATGCATATCCAGTGCCTCCGGGACGGAGTTCCGGTCTGTACCTTCCTGGGCATCCTTCATCAGCTCTTTCATGGCTTCCGCATCCTTAGAAGAGTCGCGGTGGTCTGGTCGCACATTGAGTGGACCAACTTGTTTGAAGGTGGAGTTGTGTTTTCTTGGTGTCAGATCATTATGCAATTTGCATGCAAGAAACCTCTGCAGAGATCTGCTGAAGTTTCGGTAGAACGAGGCCACCCTTGAAAACATCACGCACCCAAAGCATCTCAAAACTGTCTTCAACGCATCTACACCAGGGCACGGTGCACCCTGAACAAATGACTTACCCGACCAATGAGTAGAACTTGCCTGGCCATCTTTGATGGATTCAGGTGTGGCGCTCGCCTCGATGTTTGTGATTGCAACTCTAATAGAAAAGGAAAATGCATGAGTAGCTGATTGGACAAATAGACTCTGGATTTGTATATAAGTCGCAAGATATCACGTACATTGTGCACATTGCAACTGGGCGTTGAACTCAGGATAAATTGTCAGTGATTGATCATCTGTGTTCCGTGCACATACTAAAGGGAAAGACATCCCTTGTGTCTCGTGTCAAAGGTTTGCACCTTCGCCTTGGCTGCTGGGGTTGGCTCGTTGCGGAGCTTCTGCGTCTGCATCTGCCAAGCCAAAGGCAGTTATTATTGGATAAGCGACCAGCCAAACGGTACAAAGTATATGGGCCTCCAAGGGATTCTTGCAAGGTATTGTGAATGCTTTTGCGCTCTCTGCCACACCTCAATGAGGCACAAGAATTGTCGGTTTCCTGTGTGAGTATATAATATATATATTATATATATACAGTATGTACAGTATATAGATCATGTGGATAGTCACTAGTGATAGAGCTCTATCTCACAGCCAAGTGGCCATCAATCTTGACTTCGCCCCCTTCGAGCGAGGTGATGATTTCCTTCCCTTCATCCTTGGGAAGTGCAGCTTGAGATCAAAGGTGCCTTTCTGACCCACTTGAGGTGCTTTTTATGCGGCAAAGCATCGGGCTTCGGTTTGGTTGAGAGAGCTGGCACCACCCTCTTTGGCTCTGCCTCTGACACACAAAAGCATGCCAACGGCCAACGTGCTCAATGGATCCAACGTGCAACGTGTTGAATTAGAAAAAACACATGTATAATATACAAAAACACAAAAGCAGGAATCAAAAGCCCAACAAGAGTCGCTCGCCTTTTTGGAGAAAGAAAAAGATAGCTTCATGGCGAGTCACCGTCACTCATGAAGACTATGAAGCTTTCATGGCTTAAGTCACACTAAGTCGTCGGGTTTTCTCTTGAAGCGCCTTCATGGTATCCTATTCAGTCTTTGCGTAGCATTTTGAGTCTGAGAGAGCACAACCCATCAGATGGACAATTCCAGCTCATCACATAATCTTAGCTGTAATGTTTGGCTCTGTTTGGTTCCAAGTTTTGAATATGCCGCGTCAGCCGCGTCAGAACCTGTTGATGTGTAAAAGAGTGCAGTCAGTAAATCCTGCGAATTGTAAAAAGATGTCCATGTTTCAATAAGGGCTGCGAAGACATTGAATGAATGGCAAGCATCTCATGAATCCTCCAGGCACTTTTGGAATCCTTGCTTAAGCATCTGCGCTGGCTGTTCGAGTGATGGATTGATGCCTGGGAGCTGTAGAGAAAAACCGCATCCTGGACAAGGCGTCTCATGTGCAGATTCAGAAATGCAAATCCATTGACTATGGCATGTGAATTGCTTGCACTGCTTCTCAAGAGACGCTCTCGTTTGGCCTTCTGCACAGGCCAATGCAGGCAATGCCGCAAAGTACGCCCAATAAAGGAGGCACCACATCACTCTGGCAGCGTTCCGGTTTGGCAGTTATGTGACTGCTCTTGACAGAAACACTGCTAAAAGACATCAGCAAGCATGGCCTGCTGCCAGCTCGTGAGCTCTCGTTGACGCTCAGACATCCCCTCAGGGAGCCAGGTGCGCGCATCAACCCACCCAAAAAATTCTTCTTGCGTAGCTGCTTGAGTGATGATGAAACTGGATCGTCTTTCGGGGACGCAATACTGCCAGCAGCACGTTTCCAAATGTCTCGAGTTCATTCATCAATATTAATCATCTTGTTCGACCATCATCAGGCCTTGCCGCCATCCTTGATCTCTGCATGAACCTCTCAATGCTTGTTGCGCTGACATTCAAAACCCTCGCCCCTGTGTCCTAAGGACAGGAGCTTTGAAACAAAGTAACCGAGAAACCGTGAAAAAAAGTGATATCTTGAGGCTTTGACCCATACCCAAAAGCTCTGTTGGGTGGGAAGGGCCTGTGATAACCTCCACGTAAACAAGCATTAGTAGGTAAGCCAAATTGGAGCGGACAGAAGAGGGCAAACTCGCGGTGGCTTATTCCGTGACGATGTCAATACGAAGCCTAAGCCCTACACAAAGGGCCGGGCTATCAAAAAGAAAATTAACATATATCAAAAAACAAAATTCTATATCCGATCAAAAAGAAAACTAATTTGTATCAAAAACAAAATATCTCTCACAAAGAGCTGCGCCTGCCACTGCAAACCGCCTTGGTAGCGCTGCGCGATGTGAATCTGGATGTGCAGATTTCGTGGCGCGCGCAGCACTTTAAGCATCTCCAATAACAGATTTCGTGGCAGGAGCAGCACTTTGTGCACTGGAACTGCAGATTTCGTGGCGGGCGCAGCACTTTGAGCACCTCCAGTAGCAGATTTCGTGGCAGGAGCGGCACTTTGTGCACTGGAACTGCAGATTTCGTGGCAGGCGCAGCACTTTGAGCACCTCCAGTAGCAGGTTTCGTGGCAGGAGCGGCACTTTGTGCATTGGAAGTGCAGATTTCGTGAGCACCTCCAGTAGCAGGCTTCGTGGCAGGAGCGGCACTTTGCACGCAGCACTTTGAGCACCTTCAGTTGCAGGGCCCGTGGCAGGCGCAGCACTTTGTTCACTGGAACATACTGGAACTGCAGATTTCATGGCAGGCGCAGCACTTCGTGAACCTTGAAGTGTAGATTGCGTGAACCTCTGTCTATAAGCACAGACTTCGTGGCAAGCGCAGGGATTGCGAACCTTGCAGTGCAGTTTGTAAAATTCTGTGGATCTGAAGACCTTGTGACAAGAGCTCTTGATATCTCTGGATCTGAACATCTTTCTACACCCTAGAACTTAGATTTCAACACCTCCCTGGATCTCAAGACTCGAGACCTCTAAATCTGTGGGTTTCTAGACCTCTACACCGGCAGATCCGTCTGGATCTCCGGGCCTCTGGATCTCTGTAGATGTAGACTTCTCTGCATCTCAACCGTGATCTCTCTGAATTTCACGATGGCTCACAAAACCACAAAAGGTCTGCTATGTTGGAATGGCACCTTCCTCCTCTAAAGTTTATGCTGACAACAGGTCTGCTCCTGTAAATTTGCCCTCGCATGGCTCACAAAAGGTCTACTGCTCCTCTAAATTTTGCTCACAAAAGGTCTGCTACCTTGGCGTGGCACCTAAAGTTTATCCCCGGGTGGCTCACAAAAGGTCTGCTACGTGGAAAGTCAAGTTCCACCCTCGGGTTGCTCACAAAACAAAGGCCTGCTACGTTGGAATGGCAACTTCTTCCTCTAAGTTTTAACCTCGCAAGGCTAACAAAAGGTGTGCAACGTTGGAATGGCTCCTTCCTCTTCAAAATTTTGCCCTCAGGTGGCTCACAAAAGGTTTGCTACCTTGGAATGGCACTTTCTTCGTCTAAATTTTACCGTCAGGGTGGCTCACAAAAAAGGTCTGCTACGTCTGGCGATAAAAGGTCTGCTACGGTGCTTCACAGGATGTATGACCAGATTTCCAAATCACCTTTAACGCGTCTTGCCTCGAAAAGACCAGGACGAAAGACCAAAGGACCAGAGGACCAAAGGACCAGAGGACCAAGGGAGCAGAGGACCAAGGGACCAGAGGACCAAGGGACCAAGGGACCAGGGGACGAAGGGACCAGGACAAAGGGACCAAAGGACCAAGCGACAGGGAACCAGCAGACCAGGGCCAAAGGAGTAGGGGGAATTTTATTTTTGATTTTTTTGATCGGAATCAATTTTCTTTTTGATAGGTATCCCTACACAAAGTGCAGAATATAACCGTTTGTGAAGAACTCAAGCTCGACGCACGAAGTTCGAGGCGAAGTCAAATCGAAATGACCGAATGAACGGTCAGCGGCCGCGACCTTTTCAGGCCAAGTTGCCCTCCCTTCTTGAGAGGACGTGGTGCGGGGTTCAAAGCTTGGGAAAAGCATGACATGTCGTGGCTCACATGAAGTGTTCAGCGAACACTTGACACGGAGGGAGAGCTTTCAGGCGCCGCCGTCAGACCATCGTAGTGGCCGAGCCACGCATGCACTCGGATCCTAACAGTTGCGCTCCATCGTCGATCAGGAAGATCGGGAGGCAAAATCCTCTGGCCACAGCACAATTGGCAGGGAGTGAGTGCTACGACCTACCAAAGAAGCGCATCGGGTGGAGGCATGCCATTTCAGCCCATGTCGGGCTGTCACAATCTGCTGGTAGAAGGGGCATTTGTTCGAGTGTTCATCCATTTGGCGCAGGCATTGGCGCATGATGTCAGCGGCTTCATGGTTGAGGCCAATCGCACCTTGACGCGCTGCCAGGGCCAAGTCAATGGCACGGCGGCTCTCTGTGGCACCGGCGTGGTGTTCAGGCGCACGGTTGCGCCAAAGCATGACCTCCTCTTTGTATTTTGCCAGCTCTTCCCGTAGTCTTGAATGAACCACGGTTCATGCTTCTGAACTTCAGCATCAATCCGTAGTGGAGGCGCTGCTACAAACCAGCTCATAGATCGTCGGCCCAAAATGAAGGCGGTGCTCAGCAGGATGAGGGTGATGGTCATCAGCAGGGTGCCAAACAAATCAGCTTCTTTTCCTTCTTCCTCTCCTTCATTGCCCATCGCCAGCTGAGGCATCAGCAGGACGAGAAACATCCACACGAAGAAATTCGTCGAGCGACACTTGTAGGGCTCGATCTGGGGGCTGCGTGCGACATGGCTCGGCCTACGGAGGACATAGTTCAGATTCAGCTGGTTGTCGGTCCGGGCGAGCAAGACATTCGGTGCGACCTGCTCATACCAGGTAACATCTTCATCCTTTTCAATCTCATTCCTGAGGTGCTCATGGCCATCGTCTTGAGGTTCGGTGGGAACATACTCAGTCATGGAGGGCGACGGAGCAGCTTGTTCATGTTGAACACTTTCCAGGCGGCTTTGCACAAGCTCCTCTTTGGTCTTCTTCTTTGCAGCTTTGTATGTTGGGTCCCAAACCATGTTTAAGCGGCCGTGACGAAGCCGTTGGGCAAGTAGAAGACGAGCTGCTTCCTTAGTCAACCCATCGGCGAATTGCCGTTCTGAGGGCATCCAGCGCAAGGTCCCGCCCATGGCGGACAGACGGTCTTTCATGACCTTGATCTCCGGCGACACTCTCTTGTCAACAACTGAGCTGGAAACACCTTCTCGATGGTACAAGTCGAACAGGGCCTTCGCGTCAGTGACCATGACCGGGCTCATCAAGGACGGTGCGTCCAAAGCATTCTTCAGGCCCAGCTCAGGGTTCACGAGCAAGCTCCTTGAGTAGATGCTGGTGTGTTCCAAAGCATCGCAAGCGGACCATACACAGTTCATCTACTTTCCCAAGGTGGGCATAGTGAAGCCCAACATCGGCATGTTCCTTGGCGAATCGAAGAAGCCGATTGGTGTCTGCGACCGTTTGGAGACAGGCCTTGGACACATGTCCACTCAGGATGGACGCGCTGCTCTGTAGACGCGGGCTGGATTGTACAGCCGGCCACTGCAGGGAACCAAACAAACCTCGAAGTTGCGTCAGCTCTCGGCGGTTCAAGGACTCGGCAAGATCGCGCTTGCGATCATATAGGTGATTGGTTTCACCTTGCCCAGGTAGGACGCTTGGTTAAGCATGAAGCTGCCGTCATTGTTGATGTGGATGTCACAGCCACAGTATAGGTCAGAGGCTTGCCATCGTCACCAGTTTTCCATTCTCTGAAGGTGAACGATTTCTTGAGCTTCGCAATGGTGTCGGCATGCCACAACCCAACATGTCATCAACACGCACGATCACCATTCCACAGACCATGTGGGCCCAGCAAGTGCTCGGAGTTGGTCGTCGGGTCGAAGTTCGGCTCAAGGTCGCCCTCATACATCAGGAAACAGCAAGGATCC